TATGTATGTGAGAAAAGCAACTGCACATGGTAAGGTTCCTGCCACAACACAGTCACAGTAATGACTGCAAGTGTGTGTGTGTGTGTGTTGTCAAGGGGGTCTGCTCAGGCCTCTGAGGAGTGTGTGTGTGTGTTGTCAAGGGGGTCTGCTCAGGCCTCTGAGGAGTGTGTGTGTGTGTTGTCAAGGGGGTCTGCTCAGGCCTCTGAGGAGTGTGTGTGTGTGTGTGTGTGTGTGTGTGTGTGTGTGTGTGTGCCTGGGCTTGGAGCTGAGTGAGCTCCACAGTCATTTCACAGCCCAGGGTCTGGGCGACTGAGGGAGTGCACTGGTCACTGGACGTGCACCTGTCCTGGGCGTCCTACGGAAGCTTCCCTCCGAGGGCACCTGCACAGGGTGGTTTGGCCTAACTGGGTCGTTGTCTCCTCTTGTTCTGTTGACTACTCCCACAGAACGCCTTCCTCGTCTCTCTACAGTGTCTGAGTTGAAGTCTCTCTCCTATGCAGTGTAACTGTAGTTACTTCTTTTTTCCACTGGTGTGAACCCAAGGCTGTGTCCCTCTGACCCTTCCCTTGCTTACCTTTCTCCCCGCTTCCGTCTCAGGATGTGAGCGGCTCACTACGCTAGACGGGAGGTTGTGGCAATCAGAGAAAATGTGCGCCTGCCCAGGAATCCTGGCAGGACTCCTTCCCTGAGACCCTGGACTCACTGATGAGCTGGCCTCTGGCACAAGGCCCTGCAGACATGAGGACAGCAAAGAGCAGGCAAAGTGAATCTCTTTTTATGTCCACTGAGGACACGCAGCTTCCCAGGGGACCCCTGGAGCTTCCCTCCTGGCAGGGAACTCTGTCAGCCCAGAAGGTTGCAAATATGCTGAGAATGAAAACATTCATTCCTTATCTGTAATGAACACACAAGGCTGCCTTCTTCTCTGTGCCAGCTCCCCTGTGGGAGGCTTACCAACTGTATAGCCTAGGTGTTTTGCAAAGCATTGGAATGATCAGTGGGTACCTGTGGCGTGCCAGTCTTTGAGCTACCCCGAGGCTTCCTTAGGTATGGAACAGGTCAGAGAAAACAATGTCATTGTCCTTTCTGTGAATTCATGCTTGGGCCTTCTGCCTCTTGTGCCACGGTACTGGTACTAATCAGAAACCAGGTCATCATTCAAGTTCATTGCAGACACAAAGTTCTCCCAATAACCAGCTGAGAATCCCCAGATGCCTGGATGCAGCACGGATGATTCCAATCTTGGGTGACCATCCGAGTGCCTGTCCTTTGTTTACAAGTTGAGTGACAGCCCAGTTCCTCCCCCAGGAGGCATCTGTCACATCCCCCAACCCTGATGAGCCCAGAGAGGCCAGCTCCACACCGTAGGATGCGCTGAACAAGTGGTGCAGGCAGCAAGGTGAGCTGTGTGAACTGACGTGAGGCAGGGTGGTCCAGGCTGTGCTGGAGTCAGCTGCAGTGCAGACCATCCTGATGTCGAAGGTTGTTGAGGGCCCAAGAAAGAAGAAAGAAAACAGATACTGTGGCTTGTGAACAGACATTGAAGCCTTGCCCACCAGAAGGTGCTGAACCAAGCTGTGCCTGGTACCTGAGGGCAGCTGGTGCCTGGGGAGGGGCCCCTGGTCACCCTGCTCAGGTCAAGCAAAGGCTCACTCTCGACATCATCAAGGAAATGCTGTGACACACACGGGCTGGGCGTGGAGGGCTGTGAACTTGTGGGCGGAAGTCGAAGGACAGGTGAACAGATGGACTTAGGTCTGGGATCGCGATGGACAGGAACGATGTGGAGAGGGTTAAAGTCTGTGGACTAAGGGCTCAGTGCCAACCTGGAAATAGGAAGCATCCTGTGATGGTAACCTACGTGGGAATTGGCTATCATGGGCTGTCCTCTACTTTTTTAAGATTTACTTTATTTTTATTTGAAAGGCAGAGTCAGAGAGGAGAGAGATTTAGAGAGGAGAGAGAGTGCAAGCTTGTCTATCTGCCAGTTTGCTCCCCAAACGGCCATAACAGCAGGAGCTAGACAGATCTGAATCTAGAAACAACGAATCTCATCAGGGTCTCCCACGCAGGTGCAGGGTCCTGAGTCTGGCTGTCCTCTGCTGCTATCCCAGGTGAAGGCAGGGAGCTGGATCAGAAGTGCTGCAGCTGGGACAGGAACCGGTGCCCATAAGGGATGCCAGTGCCGCAGGCTGAGGATTGGCATGCAATGCCACAGCACTGGACTCCTGTTCAAGGGACTGGAAACCCCTATTCTTCCTCATTTAGACAGTATTAACAGGATATGAGAGACGTACTGAGCTGGGTGCTTGGTGCTAACATATTTAAAAATCCAAGCTTTCTGCAGAGGGACAAAACACAGCAAAAACCGTGACCACAGATGTCAGAACAGAACTGAAAGCTTCCAAAATCCTCTCACCGCAGACACCATCAGGCAGACGTGGGCAGGAGGCACCAGACCCGTGATGTTTGCACGTGTCAGACCCAGGGCCAGTGTCACGGTCAGTGAACAAATGGCTCATTCACCACTGAGACTGACCCCAAGTCACATCAGCAACTCAAGGGAAATCGGCCAGCATTTACACATCCAGGGGCCCGCCTTGACCTGTAACATGTCCTATCTAACAGCATCTCTATTCCTACTGTGAAAATGTCTTCTAATTGGAAAGACTTTCTAGGCTTGGTTAAAATCGAAGTTCACAACCTGAGACCATGTGATGGACGACTGTTCTCCCTCGTGTCCAGCTCTGCCCCACCTTGGTCGCCTGCTGCAGGCTTCTGGCTGGCAGGAACACATCCCCTGTCCACCTGCCTCCCTGACCCCCCACATGGCCACAAGCGCCACCTGTTCCCATATCAGCCTATGTGCTCATTTCTCTCTTTAACCACTGCCTCGTTGCTCCCTTAGGTATCCAACACGGAATCCTACGATCACAGTGCCATGGTGTCTGATTGCTGCCTTGTCAGCTCCAGTTTTACTGATTCCTACTCAGTTTAACTGGAACTCAACTTCTCATCATGTTGATACTTTTGTTTTTTTGTACTCCATCAGTTTATTTCTATTTTGTTTTCTTTCCTGTTTCTGGTGTTCCTTTATCTCCTTCCTTCGATTAATGTTCATTTAGTTCTTGTTTTTCACACCCCTTGAGGTGGCACATTGAATTTTTTAAATTTTTTCTTGTAGACATCTGTAACTGTAAAGATCACTCTGAGAGCAGCTTCTGCTGAATGCCAGTTTGCCATGCTGTGTCTCCATTTTGTTTCAGTAAATATTTTACCTTCTTTTTCGATTTCATTGACTTGTGTGGTGTTCAGGAAACGATGTCTAAATTTCCACATTTTTTTTTTTTGTGGTTCCAGAAGTCTCTCCCACTAACAGTGGATAGTTTTATTCCACGGAATTCAGAACTGAAGCTGGGAACAAGATTCTTTTTGTAACTTTGCCTTCCTTGGTTTGATCTTTTCTAGAGAAGTGCTAGCTGCTGTGAGAAGACTGGCTTTCTTCAGCTGATGGATGGACTGTTCTGGAAACATCTGCTAGCTCTGTCTGACCTACAAGGTGGTTTGGCATAACTGCTTCGTTTCCTCTTGTTCTGGCTGCTGTACCCTACAGAACGGCCTTCCTCGTCTCTCTACGGTGTCTGAGTTGAAGTCTCTCTCTTAGCCAATGTAATTGCACTTGCTTCTTTTTTCCACTGGCTTGAAGTATATTTTGATGACTTTCCTTTCAGTTTGGTTGTTATTATATGTGAAATTAACTACTTGTATTCAGTGTGCAAATATGTCTTTTTTTAATCCAGCCAACCATTTCATGTCTTTTAACTGGAGGATTTAATTCACTCATATTCAAAGTTCTTATTGATGAAATACAACTTTCCTCCTCTTTTTCTTGCTTGTTTTCAATTTTTCTATCCACCTTTTCTTACATCTTGACACGTTCCTTCATGGCTAGGCAACTTTCTCTAACAGTGCTTTTTGATTCTTGCTGTTTGCTTTTACTGTATTTATTAAAAGTGCTTTCATTACGGCTACCATAAGCCACAATTTTCTGTAAAAAAATATTTTGTTATAACAGGTTATTTCAAATATATGACAACCTAACTTTAATCACAGAAAAGAGGCAAACTAAACCAATAGACCCTATACTTTAACTCTATTGCTTTTGTTACATTTTGAATTTTGGTGTCACACTTCATATTTTTATATTGCCTATCCCACCATCCCTTAATAAACAGTATGGTCAAATTATACTTGACAGGTTTTATTTTAACTTTGTCCCAAGTTCTTCTCTAACCAGTTGTTTTCCTCATCTGAAAAAAATACGCAGAGAAAACTCCTCACAACTTGAATGGATTTCTCCCTTGAGCTCAGAGCCTCAAACCATCAGGGCTGGCGAGATCCCAACTCCAGAGCTCCTGGCCTGTTCCTGCTCGGAGACAAGGCGAGGTGCGGGGAGGAAAGGTATGTGATGGTTGACTCACATGCCAAGGGTGGCCGACAGTTTGCGTGCAGCCTGGAAACAGGCTCCGGGCCCCGAAAACGCATTAAATGGCAAATACAGCAGCTATTTATTAATTCACGTAAATGTCTGTTTTATATTTTGCTCAAGGTAATTTACTAAATCTGAATGAAAATATGAAACCTTTCCGATTTTGTTCTCCTTTTCACGGTTGACAATTCCTGTTTCTTGAGGATCTCTCTCTCTCTCTCTTTCTCTCTCTCTCTCTCACACACACACACACACACACACTGCCCCATACTTTCAGCCCAATTACCACATCCAATTACAAGCTGAAGGCCTGCATCCCGTGGGCCAGTGTCCCAGGCTCCTCTCCTCTGCACCTGACCCTGGGGGCTAGCTCCCTCAGAAACAGTTCTGCACAGCAGTGTCCCCCATCCCTGAGTTGGCTTATTAAATCCTGTCACTTCTCTCTCGGAGAGCCAAGGATCAGAACCATCTCTTCCTCCTTGTTACTGAGAGTAACTGGACCCAGAGCTACATGTTCTTTGAACAAGGTATGGCTGTGCTTGAACCTTTTCCGATTTTGTACAGTGAGGAAGCTGGACTGGCTTGTGGAGGCAACCATTGCAAACGAGCATCAAGACTGATGTTTGATTAAAGTAATTTGATTGTTCTCTTTGTGGCTATATTCTATACTTTCTCAGTGAAACAGGCCACACAATAGTTTAATACATGCAGTTTTTCTGGATTTTTATTGTCTTAATCAGCTCTGGAGGATCTGGTCTTAGCATGGGACTGTTCCATGCACAGCTTGAAGGGGCAGGCTATTAATTTACCTCCCCGACCTGTACCTCCAACCCCTGAAGTCACAGCTACAAGCAGCACTCAAGGATCACGGCACTAATGTGGCTGTGTGGGGAGCCTCGAGATGGGTAGACAGGATTCCCCATGCTAGCTTCTTCATGGAGATTTCCCTGTCCCTGCTCCCTTACATTCTTCTGCTAAAGCAGGGAGACACTGGTACCTGTATCCCATGAACATGGGCACGACTGTTGATGCCACAAGCTCATCGTATTCCTGACATGAAGGGAACTCCACAGCCACCCATGTGCTTCTCAGAGAGGTGGCCGAGGAAGCAGGAAATGCTGCTAACTGTGTAATGCAACCGATTTTACAGTGATGCACTCAGGGTTGTATTGCATCCGGTTGTGATGTGTGTGTGCAGAAGGTACTATGCCGTGGTGTGTGTGTCACACACGGTGCCTTTGTGTGTGTCTGCAGAGGGTCCTGTGCCATTTTAATATATGGTTGACCACCAAGTGTCTGTTACCGACTGCCTCAGTGATTTCCCCAATAGAAGTGTTGTATGAATCCGTACTTTCATATACAATCACTGTTCCTCTGTAAACCTTTGGAGAATACTTTCAATTCTAAAACATCTACACTTCCAAGAAAGCATTGACATCAGCAAAGAGCAGAGTCATTAGACAGAAAGATCACAGAATTGTGGGGTGCTTGGCCTTTCTGGAAGTGGGGGGTGGTTGATGGGGTTGAACCAGTCAGATGACTGTCCTCTGGCTGACCGAGTCAGGCCGCCTGCCCCAAGCTAACCAGGGCCCGGCCCTGCTACTGATTCAACCTGCAGCCTTGTGGCCACCTGCCTCGATGCCCCATAGGGAGGGACTTAGGGCTACTAGTCTGTGTTGTTTGGTTAGGACGAAGCAAACACAAATCAAGAAATTCATTTTACTACTTGTTTCATTGAATCTGCTGGTGAATAAAAAGCAGGATAAAGATGCCATTTCTCACCATGATGCATTGTAAGATAGAGCAGGTGGAACAGCATGGAGAATGGAGAGGAGAAAGAAGAAGCAAGCACTTAAGTCTCCAACAACTTCATTTATTCATGCTGAATAATGTTCTCAGTGAGGTATAATATGGATTCATGGTGCCAAAGTGTCTCATTTATTTTTATAGGATTTTACAAGGGAGTTTAAGAATGAGATCTGGCTTATGACACACAAAAGTATTCCACCTGCTTCTTGATTCTAATATGCATAAAATTAAACATGTGAAGTACCACAAATGTAGCCAGAGTATTAAAACTATTTCAGAGTTCTTAGTTGGTTGCTTCACATTTTGCACTTGCCCTAACGGATTTCAATGCTGAAATACTGCAGAATAAGCAATGCTCAATTCTCCACCATATTCTCATTGTCTTCCTCCCTGCCCCACATTCTCTAGTGGGCTGTGTGCTCCACGCCCTAGCTGATACATCCCAGCAACATTCTCTAACTGGCTGAGTGCTCCCTGCCCTAACTGGTACATCCCAGCCCACATTCTCTGACTGTGTGCTCCATGCTGTAACTGGTACATCCCAGCAACATTCTCTAACTGGCTGTGTGCTCCACACCCTAGCTGATACATCCCAGCAACATTCTCTAACTGACTGTGTGCTCCACGCCCTCACTGCTGCACACCATCTTTTGTCTGTGGGCCTGCACAGCTCATGGACCACATTCTTCTGCATCTGAAGCTCACATAACTGAGAACACTCGTTTGGAACTTTCCACATCTGTGTGTGTGGCACTGCCACACTCAGTGTGGCTGCCGTAGGTGGCTTCATTCTGGGATAACATAGGGTATTCTCTTCATGGTGGGAATTAGGTTTCAAACCCATGGGCAAGCAGCCTTGACTTTGACAGACTTTATACTTGTGTATTATCTGTTAGAGAAGCTACAAAACACGTATAACGGAAGAAAGTTTGCACCAAAGCAAATGCTTACTTACCAATTGTTCCTTTATTTATCTGAGTAAGAGAGATTGAGAGAGAAATTCCCCTCTCTTGATTCCCTGAGCCAATGACACCATGTCCAGAACTAGACAAGATGCAATGCCTGAGCCAGAAACGCAATCCAGGTTTGCCCTGGGAGTATTGGGAACCCAATCACTGAGTTGCCGCTGCCTTCCAAGGGCTGCATTAAATGAAGGTGGAGCCCGGGTCCTCTGATGTGTGCACAGGCGTCTTAGAGCTGTCACCACTGCCTTCCAAAGTCCGTGTTGGCTGAAGGTGGAGTCGGAACATGGAAGCAGGGCGGAGCCCAGTCCTCCAACGTGCACATGGGTGTCTTAACACTGAGGCTCCAGCCAGCCTACAGACCACCACTTTGTTGTGTTTTCCACCAAGGTTTCCCTTTATAAACCAACAGCCACAAAGCAGCACCTTTTGAAAACTTTACTTTTTACTTCCCTTGCTAGTAAGTTCAGACATACCTTTTCATAGGTTATTGATCTGCCATTTGCTGGTTCACTTCCCAATGCCTGGTGCAGCCCAGACTGAGCCAGGATGGGGCCAGGAGCGCAGATCTCAGTCAAGTTCACTCACACAGGTGGCAGGGGACAGAAGCACCACAGCCATCACCTTTGCCCTGCAGGATGCACAATGACAGAGAGGGGGAATTGGCGGGCAAGGTGGGACGCAAATCCAGACACTCTGATGTGGGGCAGAGGTGCCAGGGCAGTGTCTGGAGAGCTGGCCCGCATTCGTTGCTTCCTCTGCAGAGTGAGAAAAGTGTGTTTCAGCTCCTTGTACCATTGTGAATATTCATGAAGTTTCATGTAGGCACAGTACAGACCGTACTATCTGCCCCAGAGGTCTATGCAGTGATGGGATTTCCAATGCACTTCTCAAAACAAAGCTGTTGAAAATGTGTTTTAATGCCACGTTGGCATTTGCTCTGCCTTAGTTGTAAACACCTCAATGCAGCAGAGCCCTGTAGACGGCTCACTGTTCATACAGCTACAACTAAAGCATCACCCACAACTTTGTATGGCAGGTGAGGGATTTTATTCCACAAACTCTTATTTGGTACATTTGCCTTGTGGCCTGAGAATTTTTTTCTTTTTACCAAAATTTTCGCTGACTTGATGGGGAAGTTCTTAGCTCACGCTTGGGAAGCGCTCACTGCATCAGGTCCCTGGCATTCATTGCAGCTTTTGAAGAATGGTTACTCAATTCTTGGTCTCTGTCTCAACCTCGCTGAACCTTTGCGGCTTAAAAGCGCCACCAGCCACCATGCCATGTGCTTGAGGAGGGTGGCAGGTGCCCTACTGACTGGCCTTGCCGATTGTTCTAACATTCTCACGTTTCCTCTCCCCCACCAGAGCGCTCCTGCCGGTGGGACAACGGCTCGGCGGTGACCGAATTCCAGCTCTCAGGCTTCTCCGATGTCCGGGCCATGCAGCTCCTGCATGCGGGGCTCTTTGCGCTGCTGTATCTGGCAGCGCTGCTGGGGAACCTGCTCATCGTGACGGTGGTCACGCTGGACCACTGCCTGCACACGCCCATGTACTTCTTTCTGGGGAATCTGTCCTTCCTGGACCTGAGCTACATCTCCGTCACCGTGCCCAAGTCCATCCACAGCTCGCTGAGCCGCCGCAGCTCCATCTCCTACCTCGGCTGCATGGCTCAAGTCTACTTCTTCTTCGCCTTTGCCTCGGCTGAGCTGGCCTTTCTCACCGTCATGTCCTACGACCGCTACCTGGCCATTTGCCACCCGCTCCGGTACGGAGCCATGATGACGGGAAGCAAATGTCGTCAGATGGCTACGGCTGCCTGGCTCAGCGGCTTCTCCTACGCGGCTGTGCACACGGCAAACATGTTCCAGGAGCGCCTTTCTGGGTCCAGCGTGGTCCGCCAGTTCTTCTGTGACATCCCGCACGTGCTGGCCCTGGTGTCCTGCGACGTGTTCTTGGCCGAGTTTGTCGCCCTGGCTGTGAGCTCGTGCGCGGTGCTGGGCTGCTTCGCGCTCATGGCCGCCTCCTACCTGCACATCTTCTGCACGGTGCTCCGCATCCCTTCGCGCGAGGGCCGCGCCAAGGCCTTCGCCACGTGCTCCCCGCAGCTGGCCGTCATCCTGCTCTTCCTCAGCACCGGGCTCTTCGCAGCCCTGGGGCCGGTGGGCAAGGCCTCCTCCCTGCAGGACCTGGGGCTGGCTCTGGCCTACACGGTTCTGCCTCCCGTCCTCAATCCCATCATTTACAGCCTCCGAAACAGGGAGATAAAAGCGGCCATGCGGAGACTCCTGCGGAAGGTACACCCTCTGCCCAAGTAGCCCCTGGTCTTGGCTGTGTGAGCACAGACATATGACGACACGTGGCAGAAAAGCTGTTGGCTCTAATTTGGAAAATGGCTAAATTAATAGAAAGTTGTCCTTGTTATTCTGAATCTGCCATAGATCACAACCTGAAGTAGGTCCACAATTTCAGTTCTAATCATTAATCATTAAACTTGACATGATTTGTTGATTGACATTTTCTGTTATCATTTCAATATCTCACTTTGCTTTCCGATAAGCCAAAATGTGTCAGGTTTAACTTGATTTACTTATCGTTGAAGCTTCCGTGCAGCTGACAAGAAGGACATGTACTGTACAACGTGGTGTTTTCACACAGGGATTCATCGGTTTATTACGTCTGGATATTCAAGGTGCCCATCGCCTCATGGACTCGGAGGTCTCTGCTTCCCAAGGCACTTGCCATGGGCACAGAGGACTCAGCAATAGTCGATGATCTGTGTGGGATGACTGTGGCTTTGATGTGCTTCTCCTTGAGTTTTGTTCCCATGTGTCTGTTCACAATCACATCCCTGTCTTTGGGACCTGCACGGTCAGATCCGTGCTCTGAGCATCCCTGTCTTTGGGACCTGCATGGACAGATCTGTGTTCCCTCTGAGCATGCCTGTCTTTGGGACCTGCACGGTCAGATCCGTGCTCTGAGCATCCCTGTCTTTGGGACCTGCATGGACAGATCTGTGTTCCCTCTGACTGAATTCATTGTTTGCTTGTCATTGAGTTGCTTCAGTTCTTCTAGTCTTTAGTTTACAGATTCATCCTTGTTGAGACTTATTTCTAAGAATTTAGTTTTGAAGTTATTATAAAGGTGATATTTGCTTTCTTTGGGGGAATATTATCTTTTTAATGTGTAGAAATACTAGTGATATTTGTACACTGATTTTTTGACCCACAATATTACTGAATTAGTTTATTAAATTTAACACTTCGGCATAATCTTCGTGGTTTTCTATACATGAAATTTATTTTCTCCAGGTAGGGCTGATTTCATGCCTTTTACTGATTCCTCTCATTGCATTGCCCTGCCTGGGTCTGCTGCCACCATGGGGAACAGCAGAGACAAGAGGGGTCCTCACTGTATTCCTGGCAGTGCAGGGAAAGCTCTCAGCTTTCACCTCGGAGTAAAATGTTCACCAGAGATGTGTGACACACAAGGAGAAAAAGACAATTAAATGATCAAGTTCATTTTGGTGCAGATAATTTTTATAGTGGATTGCAATACTACCTTTTTTACATTTTATTATTATTATTGTCATTTTATGATACAGTTCCATAGGCTCCTGGCATTTCTCTTATCCCCTCCCCGATTCTGCCCCCCCACCTAGTTCCTCTATATCATTACTAAAACATAGTTCATCATACACAGTCATATGTCCATCATTGTGGGCATGGACAAAGGCAGAGAATCCAGCTCCTATTGTCAAGATATAGTGAACAATTTCATTGTAAGTCCATCTTTGTCTGGAAGTAGAGATGCATACCAAATTGTATCTTCACATCTGCATGTTAGTCTCCATTTCACAGCTACTGTACATCCCCTCAAATGAAAAGTCATAATACAAAATCAACAACAGAGAGAAAAATAGAAATTTACAATAGAAGTTAAATGACATGTTACTAGATAAGACAGTCTCCATTACACAGCAACTATACATCCCCTTAGATGAAAAGCCACAAAACAAAATCAACATCAGGGAGAAAAAAAGAAATTAACAACACCATGAAGTTAAATAACATGCTACTAAATGACTAACATGTAGCTGAAGAAATGAAAATCAAGAACCTTCTTGAAGAAAATGATGCTACTATATGATCTATGAGTCATTGAATGATTTAATAAGAAGAAAGTGTTTTGAAGAGATGAAACTAACAGAAAACAACAAAATCCATGCGATATAGTTGCCACTGATCTTTGTTGGTGAAGTGTGTCTCTCCTAGATGATAAATAGATGGGTTTTGTTTTTTAATCCAGTCTACTAATCTATGGCGTTTGACTGAACTTAAGCCATTTACATTCAGAGTTTAATATGTATGGATGGTACTTTGCTCCTGTCATTTTAGGAATGGGTTGTTCATTGCTTTAGTCTTCTGTTGTCATTTTACTGGGATGTTCCTCCCATTTGCCTTTGGTTTTGTTGGGTGGTATTCCTCTTCTCTGTCAAGAGAACATCTTGAAGTATCATTTGTAGGGCAGGTTTGGAAGAGGCAAATTCTTTTAACTTTTCTTTACTGTGGGAGAATTTTATTTCATTTTCAAAGACAAAAGAAAGCTTTGCTGAATATGTTATTCTAGGCCTACGATTTTTTTCTTTTAGAATCTGGAATATGTCACTCCATTCTCTTCTTGCCTGTAGAGTTTCCTGTGAGAGATCTCCTGTGAGTTTAATTGGCATTCCTTTATATGTCAATTGATTTTTTTCACGTGCACATTTCAGGATCTTTTCCTTATGTTCAATTGAAGAGAGCCCGATGATCATGTGTCTTGGTGAAGATCACTTTTGATCAAGCCTGTTGGGAGTTCTGTGCCCCTCCTGGATCTTGTTTCCCAATTCTTTCTCTAGATTAGGGAAAATTTCCTTTATTATTTCATTAAATACATTTGTAAACTCAGCTTCTCTTTTTGCATCTTCTGGGACTCCCATAACTCTTATATTTGGCCTCTTATTAGTGTCTTTCAATTCTTGAATACTTTTTTTGGTCTGATCCAGCTATGCTTCCAGCTTTTTGTTTGTTTCCCCCTGATGACAGGAAATATCTTCCAATTGTGAGATTCTTTCTTCTGCTTGTTTTATTCTACTTTGGAGACTCTCCACTGTACTCTTAATTTGCTCTAATGTGTTCTTAATTTCTGATATATCAACCTTGATTTGCTTTATTGCTTCCTTAAATTCTTTGAACTCTTGCATGTGCTTCTCATTTTTTATCAGAAGCTTTAAAATAAGTTTTATGAATTCTGTGTCCCCCATTTTCTTGATGTCTTCCTCATTTAACTGTGAAGTTGGCATAGGGTTTTGCTCCTTTGCAGGGGAGTTTTCAGTAATATTCATTATGCCTTTGTCTCTTCTTTTGCTCTTGGTCATTGTACTCTGGTTAGCAGAGTCTTCTCCTTGGGGCAGGTTTCCAAGCTGTGTCACCCACAGGTCTACAATGCGATTTTACTTATTGCAGTTGGTACACAACTCTTTGCTTGCAGCCACTTGTGCCACTCATTCCAGTGGGTTCCAGGCGAGGATTTAGCCACTGAGCCATTGGGCCAGGCCCTAAAAACTTTCTCAATGTTATTTTCCTTATGGCACCCTTAATCTGTTTGTTTCTAAGACTATAGATGATAGGATTCAAGAATGGAGGCACAATGGTGTAAAACACAGACAGAATCATGTCCCGAGTCATTTCAGAGTGTCCTGAGGGCCTCAGGTACACGTAGGCCCCAGAACTCAGGAAGACAGACACCACGAGCAGGTGTGGGATGCAAGTGGAGAAGGCCTTTCCTCGCTCTTGAGCTGGAAACTTCAACACTGTAGAAAAGATGCGCACGTACGACATGGTGATGAGAGTGAAGCAGGTGCCAACCACCCCAGTGGCTGAGACAAAAACCAGGAGGCTGTTACTGAAGGTGTCTGTGCAGGAGAGCCGGAGCAGGGACGGGATGTCACAGAAGAACTGGCGGACCACGCGGGACCGGCAGAAGGACAGCCGGAATGTGGAGCCTGTGTGCACACCTGCATAGATGAGGCCACTGAGCAGGGCAGCCAGCGTGGCCTGGACACACACCCGTGGGCTCATGATCGCCACGTAGTGCAGGGGCTGGCAGATGGCCACGTAGCGGTCCCAGGCCATGGAGGTGAGGAACAGCACCTCCACATATGCACAGTAGATGACCAAGAAGATCTGCATTGCGCACCCAGCTGCCGAGATGGCCCTGTTGTCAGTGAGGGAGTTGACACAGGCGTTGGGGACAGTGGCGGAAATGTAGCACATGTCCAGGACGGAGAGGTTCCTGAGGAAGAAGTACATGGGGGAGTGGAGGCTGCGGTCCACGGTGGTGACGGTGACGATGAGCAGGTTCCCCAGCAGGGTGCCGGTGTACAGCAGCAGGAACGACACCGTGAGCAGGAATCGAACCCCCCACCCGTCAGCAAAGACCTCAAGGAGAAACCCTGTGACCGTGGTGGAATTGGCCATTTTCTGACAAACCTTATAGATCTGGAAAGCAATGGTCACAAAAGGAAGGAATTAATTAATAGCTGGTTAGTTTATTTTGATGAATCCCCGCACTCTCTTGGTGTTTACTTCTATGTAGTGCAACTAACCCGTGTGCATATATAAATATGCACACGTGAATGATCATGTAGTAGTATATACGCTCATGTGTGTGTTATACACAGCTAGACTTATGCTCACACATAGAAGAAGAAACTAAGTAACTGCTCTGCAGCAGCCACTGGGTCTGGAATCTGCCAAGGAAATGTGAATGGAGAATCCGAGACCAGTATAAAAAACCAGACTGTTAAAATTATATGAAAACAAAATCCGTCTACAGCCATACCACTCTGAACGCGCCCGATCTCATCTGATCTCGGAAAACAAAATCCATAAATTATCTTGTGGAAAAATAAGAGCAAAAGCAAAATGTGTGTGAATAAATTATACAATTGATGCCAAAGACATAAACGGATCATAAGGGGCCAATGTGAACAATTAGGTGCCAACAAGCTGGAGAAACAGAATAAAATGGGTTTCTAGAAATGTGTAACCTGCCTGGACTGACTCAATCAAAAAACAAATATGTAAGAAACCAGAATAGACCAACAATAAATAAGAAGACTAAATTAGAAAACATGAAACTCCATTAAGGAAGATCCGTGGTCAGGTGCTTTCATGGTCAACTCCAATAAACATTTAAGGAACAATTATTACCAATTTTCTAAAAGTTTTGAAAACATAGAAATGAGGGGATATTTCTAAACTCGATTTAATGATAC